AAAAAAAGTGAGTGATATAAATGATGCATTATCAAATTCACTTTTGCCTTCAACAGCTCACAAATTCACCCTTTTTTAATTGTACTATATGAAGAACTTTTAGAAAGTGCGTAAATCTGAAATAATTGTTTATAATAAATAAAAAATATAAATAATAACACATCTGGAAAGCTATTATCATAGAAAAAGTCCGAAAGCTTAAAAATTGATTAGATGCGTCAGCTTTCTTAAATGCCTTATAGTTTAGGAGTCTATTTTTCCCGAACAACAAATATTTACCTCTGGAAGATTACATATAATTAATACACCTTGTTAGAGTAGCTATTGTCACCACGGTGCGACCTTGATGGTATAGAAAAGTAGGTCGGCTTCAAAATAGTATTAAACAATTTTTGGCGGTCGCGATTTTCTTTCATATAATTTTTCAAAATTGTTGCATAATTAGCGATTAATTTAATCTTTTGTTAAAATTTGGGGGAACGGGTTTATCCCGGAAAAATATGTAGTTTTATACCGGAAAGGACACACAAATTCCCCCCAGATGTAGCCTGATTCTTAATATAAGCATCAACCACAGTTTTCCAATTCTCTCAGTTTATTTTCCAGTAGCAATTCCGCTGCTGCAGCTGCTTTTTTCGTGGCTTTCCGAAAAGTGGTTTTTAAAGTCTTCGACTTTTTTCTACGCTTTACCACTTTACTACTCAAGCATTGTGGGGCAAACTTAATAAACCTTCTCAATTTCCTTTTGCTCATTACTAAATTATCTAGTGGTTCTTCAAATATTGTTTCTAATGATGTGTTTGTCATTTTTACTGTATTGTTAACGGTTTGTTGCTTCATTCTCTTGGCATTGTCATTGGACGACTAAAAAAAACGATATTTGTGCAAAAAATTAAAAAGTAAAATATTAAGATTTAAAATAACGGATAATAGTATAAGATTTAATTAAGAATTAAAAATAGCGTATTCTGGTATTTTTTGTAGTCACCTCAATTAAGTCCGCATTGAACAGTGGTTTGATTCTTTTCCTTGTTGATCGCCTCAATTCAATAGATGTACCTGATTTGCACGATTCACTGTCGGACCTTTTCTTATCATTTAATGTGTTGATATTCAGCTCAGAGAAATTAATATCGTCCACTAACATTGTGCTAAAGACCAACAACTTCCATTAAATATATCAGTATTATTAATTGCTTGATTGTGGATGAAACAAACTTACTCTTCCTTGCATGTTTCCATAATCAGCTAATTTCGGGATTTCTTCTCAAAAATCTGAAAATATAATTGTATATTTTTAAATAAGGTACCTAGCATTATTTTCTAGGTAAACGCGCTTAAAAGACTTGGTTAGAGTCTGGAGTAGTGAAGAGAATCAATTGATGAATGCAATAAAAAAATAAATATATAAGTAGGTTTTTATGTATCATTATGTTCAAGTTATAATTAATTTGGAGGCTAAACTTTTGAAAACTGTAATATTTGACACACATTTATTAACGTTCCCTACAGGGTAGCGAAATGTGATGAGTTGCGCTTTTAAAACCAGCTTGTATGTATGCACTTAGCAATAAAACAACAACTTACGTAWATCATTCATCAATGTAATAAAATGCAAATAAATTAAACAACATACGTGTCGGTACACTGTAGCGAGCGGACGTGTACGGTGATCGCGATTATTTGGAGTGTGAACACTTTTTCGCCCATATGAGGATAGTGATATAGCAACTGCAAGAATTTAAATAATTCGTGTARCATWTACAAYCTTGAGGGCCCCAGGCGTCGGAGACCGACCATGAGTCCAAAAGATCCGAAATAATTATTTCAGATCTTAACAAGTGCACATCGGGCACAAGTGCGATAATAAATTGAAATAAGCACTAGTGCGGTAATAAACTTAATTATGACATTTGAAAGAGTGCCAAATCATAGTCATTATATAACAGTTGTAGATAAAATATTATTAATACACTAAGGTAGACCATCACAAAGTAATAAACAAGACGATAATCTGGCTAAAAGTCAATTGCGCCAAATGCCCAGCTTAAGAACTCAAGTCATATAAACGAAAGATAAAAAGTCAGTGCTATTTATTTACACTCCACATAGGAAAAGTCTTTTATCATAAGCTTTTATTAAAATTGAGGATGACTTGGTGTTGTGTAGCAGTACGCAGTTTCCCTATAAAAATTCGTAACTCTTAAGTAAATTCTACGACGAACGGTGTAAGTTTTAGATCTATTTCTAGAGACAATATGAACACATTGGAGGGCTTTAAATATGCTTTGTATCTGGTAATACAATAAAGTTTTGCCAGTGAAGTTGTTTACACAATACTCCCTGTTTGAGATTGTTCTACAACTAAGCTAGTTGTTTAGTTGAAATATTATTTATATACCAATTCTTGAAGTCTCCTACTTTGACAAATATTAGCACTTTCAATAAGATAAAAAGTCTAAAAAAAGGAGGAAACCTTCCAATCGAAGTATTTCATGTTGAGTTTAAGATGAGGTCGGTGCGATCTGTATGTGCTGTAGCTGCTTTATGCATTTCAGTTTTTGCTCTTGAAGTAGTCAGCGATAGTTCCGATTTTGATCAATTCGTCTCAGAAATTTTGAGTTTTATAAATGGCACCACGACGTATGTGAAACCCACTAATAATAATGCATTCTTCGGCAATGGATCTGACTCGGATGAACCGTTAGGTAAGATTCTTGCTAGTTCACCAAAGCGCTTATAGAAAGCAAGAACGGATCATCTACCGTCGATGTCTGTTCTTCTGCCTCCATGTCTTTGTTTTTTACATCCTCCCTTCCATTTTCTATTTCATTTCTTATTATTTTGCCTTAGATTCTGCTCGGCGTACCAGTCACAGATATGCCTGAAATAGATAATAGATATGCCAGATAATTATCGCACATATCGTTCCTTCTTTTTTGAGAATTGTGGATATATACGATGTTTTCCACTCGTTTGGGACTTGGGTTCCGTTCAGATATTTTCGGAAAATATCTCGTAGTCTCAGAAACAGTTTATTAGTACCGTAAGGTACGTTTAAAGGCATAATTTATTATGCATCCCATTCTTTGTCTGATATTGGCGAAATTATATCTCTGGTCGTTTCTTTTTTAATTTATTTTATCCTCTTCCGGCTTTCGGTACTTCTTCGACCTCCTAAATAATAGTCTTTTTCTTGCACTTTTGCGTCCATGCTACATTTTTCTTATCACTAATCATTCTTCTTACCTTTGATTGTGCGCTCTTGTAATTTTGTCTGGCATTCTCTGTTTTTTGAGATAAGTAAACGTGATAGAGTTTTCTATTTTCCTCTGTTTCTCTCTGAATCTCAGCATCTCACCAATATGGTTTTCTCCTCTGCGATTTGTCTTCCACTAAACCTAGTGCTTCTTTCGCGGCTTGATGGAATGTAATCATACTCTTCATTTGGGTTTTTGCCTGAACATGCCTTGAGTTTTTCGTTAAGTCGTTTTATAAAAGTTTTTTACTCTGTCATGCTCTAGGTTTAGTAGGTCGTATTTACAGTGACCAATTTCTTCTATCCTTGTGTCCTCCAGCTGTTGTTGGTGAAGGTTTCGGCCTTAATAAGGAATAAGGAAAGATAATTGCGGCTTCCAGAAAATAGTGATCAATTCTGATTTGATTTGATTTTTCATCTTCAATTACTTTTTTCAGATTTTGGGAGGGTTTGGTCCAGGTGTATTTGGTATTTCCCTGCGTTGGAAAAGGCCATTTTGAGTTTTTTGTCTAGGTGCCCGAACGAACATACCTTATATCTAAAATGTTCAATTTTGTTCAGATTATGGGACGTATGATTTCATAATTGTGGGTTCCGGTTCAGCGGGTGGAGTTTTAGTAAACCGACTAAGTGAAGTTGAAAACTTCACAGTTTTACTGGTGGAAGCTGGATCGGAAGATCCTGTTGCATCTAAGATACTTGGACTGTATACTTATATGACAAAATCAAGCTGCGATTGGGGATATTACACTACTCCGCAAGCCGCCAGTTTCCTGGGTATATGCAACAGGTTTTTGATCGAAGAAATTCGTTTAAATCTCTAATTGCAGCCAATACTGACCAAAGAGGAACCTATCCCAGGGGCAAAGTACTGGGGGGCTCAACTACTATAAATGGGGCGATGAATACACGCGGTAACCCAAAAAACTATGATGAATGGGCAGAACTGGGAAATGATGGATGGTCTTATGAGGAATGTTTGCCATACTTTAAAAMATTGGAAAGGGCTGAATTTTCAGTTGATATTGATCGACAAGCGCATGGATTTGATGGGCCAGTGCAYGTAAATATACCGGAAGATACTCCAATTCTGGTAAAACAATTGCACAATATCAAACWTTTWAAATAGTGTTGCAGAACAATTTAAACCTTGCACGGAAAACATGTACCTATTTTAATAAGGTCTCCAAATAACAGTATCAACTTTTATTATTGCGGTTTTAGACAAAAGAACTGATAAACGCCTTTATAGAAGTAGGAAAACGAGAAGGAGATTATAACGGCGATGATCAGTTCGTTGTAAGTAGAGTTCAATCATTGTTGGATTATAATACGCGCTCAGGTACTGCCCACTCCTACATCCGGCCCATCTTAAGTAGAACAAATCTGGTGATCAGTTTGGACTCACTAGCCACTAAAATTCTCCTTTCCGACAACGTTGCCACTGGCATTGAGTTTTGGAAAAATGGAACTAAATATTCCGCGTCTGCTAAAAAGGAAGTGATTCTATCCGCTGGAGTAATAAATTCTCCTCAGCTTTTAATGCTTTCGGGGATTGGCCCAAAGGAAGAACYTGATAAGCATGGTATTGACACCATAGTTGACTTACCAGTCGGGCAATATTTCAGCGATCAGGCTTACTATCAAGGAATGTTTTATAGGTAAGTTGMACTATTRCAGGCGCTCTTTAGTTTGGTTTGWATATGTTGCAGAACAAAATATACGTTTTACAACAACACTTTCCTGGAAAATTTGGAACATTGGTATCACAATGAACGACCACTCACTGATACGTATACATCGCAACTAGTCACTTTTTACAACGTGGCTGGAAATAGCAGCGATGCTTCGGACATGGAAATATTGATTCCAGGCCCCCCAAATCTTGGACCCAGCTACGGAGAAGCGTAAGTATTTTAACTGAACTTATAGCTTATTTTTATCCTGACATTATTTGCCAATTTAAATTCAAGGTACACAAACTCCACTTACGCGCAAGCTTTCAAAGTTTTAAACGAATATTCGGACTTCGCTTTGATTCTATATTTTCTGCGACCGAAATCCGTTGGTAAAGTTACTTTAGCATCGGCAGATCCCAGGGACTTCCCTTTGATTAACCCGAACTTTTTTTCTCATCCCGATGACTTGGAAACATTATACAAAGCAGTGGAAATTGCAAAAAATTTGGAAAACACAACAGCGTTTCAACGTCTGGGAGTCCAACCAATCGTCCTAGACCTTCCAGATTGCGATGAAAATTATGAAAAACTTTCAAAGGATTGGTGGATATGCAGCATGAAATATCTAACAATTGCCGTAAGCCAATGAATGTCCACTGTTGAAATGAAAATTCGTCCTTATAATACTCTCGACAAATACAGCAAATCAGTTCACATTTATAATTTCATAATTAAAATTTTTTTGTTTCTGTACATTTTTTTAACACTTTGATGAATATAAAATTACATCAAGCAGAAAATACTCATTAAGTGAATATTCTCAGGGACTGCATCCAATTGGAACTACAAGAATGGGAAATGATACACAAAACTCCGTAGTGAGTTCAAAACTCAAAGTTCATGGTATCGATAAGCTACGAGTGGTTGATGCTGGAGTGATTCCTCAACAAATATCGGGACATATTAGTACTCCCATAATGATGATTGGGGAAAAAGCTGCCGATTTTATTAAGAATGAATACTCTTGTACATCATAGTTGTTTTTCCAACTATTAAATATGACTAAACAAACACTATAAAAAAATAATTATTTTATAACTAAGGTATTGTGTCACATTTATTGCTGTATGTCCAAGAAGAATAATAAATATTAGTGAAAACAACTACGGCCATAGCAATAGTTCACGTCTTCTGCTCCTCCAAGATGGATTAAGTATTTATTGAATCAGTCAACTCAAACTATAGTTTTGTTTTGAAAAGTCATTACGTAAAATCACCAAGTAAATAACAAAATATAAAAAAATTCCTAAGTTAATGTTAATGATGACTTAATTTAGTTTCCCGATAACGATTGCGCGCAATCACATCCTAATTTAAAATAACAGCAACTACAAATCAAATTTGTAAGATGTGTTAACTAGAGTTGTTCTCTAGATCTAATTCGAGGACTAAGAGCTGAAGGCATTTTCGATCATCAGTTTGATTCCCTAAATTGAAGCAGAGGGGCAAACGAGCGAACAATATTATCTCGAAACATACAGGTGCATTAAAATAGACTTAAAACCCAAAACTGAAAATCCATGTATGTGTATCTACAAATATTTGCTCATTCGCAGTACAAAAACAAGAATATGTTTTAATTGAAAAATTTCTCACTGAGTTTTCGATGAGACAAGTACGTGTAAGTGCTCTAGCCGCATTATGTATTTCACTTTTTATTCTCGGAGTAGTCAGCGATAGCTCAGATTTTGAGCAATTCGTCTCAGAAATTTTGAGCTTTATAAATGACACCACGACGTATGAGAAGCCCACTAATAATGATGCTTTCTTCGGCAATGGAACTGACTGGGATGAAGCGTTAGGTAAGATTTTTGTTAGTTTAGCGTCGCAGCAAAATTTTAATTAAGCGAAAAGAAAAGCTTTGCTACTTCACACGTTGACCAAACAAGATTAATTCATTCAAACATTCACGCTGAAGGAAGTTTCATCTAGATACATCAAATCGAAAACAGGTTTCAGTTAGGGTTTAATGCTCAACGTTTTCAAATTTATGACTTATAGCATATTTCAAACGAAAACCTTACAAAGGCCATTTAAAGTAGGAAAACCTTACAGTATGCGGAGTGGAGTCCATTCGAAATCAGATAAGCAAAATAAAGATAAACAAACCGACATAAACTCCGAAAAATTATTGAGCAAAAAACACACACGGAATTCAAGAAAAGATGCAAAAATTCAGACGCAAAGAAACTCAGATGATGATAACGTTTTCAATGACGAGCTGCTGCAAACAGGCAACCAGGATGTTGAGAAGCTACTGGAAAATGATAAAGATTAATAAAGTCACTTAATACCTTGAAAATTATCAAAACATTATGTCCTATTGAACGTCCAAGAACATGTTCATATCTAAAAATTAAAAAAAAAATGAATACAAACCATTTTGAATTACTAAGACAACATTGGCGTGCTGAATGCAAAAATAGCAACAAATTATGTCAAAAGATTTGTTTTCGACACTATTGGTTCAAATTCTCCTTTTTCTTAGCTCGCTTTTTAACCATCCATTGATCCAGAAAACCAATCATTTGATATCAATCCCTTACAAGCTTTGTTGGAAGTCAGTGAAGCTTTCTTTTATTACATTTCCACTTGGACAACGCGAAGAAGTTAAACATTGACGTATTTTATATGTAAAATTTCGCAAATTTTTTAGATTATGGGACTTATGACTTTATAATTGTGGGTTCCGGATCCGCTGGTGGCGTTTTGGTTAACCGACTAACCGAAGAGGAAAACTTCACTGTCTTATTGGTGGAAGCGGGATCGGAAGATCCCGTTATATCTAAAGTAATTGGGCTTTACGCCTATTTGCTAAGCTCAGGCTGTGATTGGGGATATTACACCACCCCGCAACCCAACATGTTCCTGGGTATAAGCGAAATGTTTTTGATCACTGAAACTTTTTATATTAAAATCCTTAATTGCAGCGAATACTGACAAAAGAGGAACGTATGCGAGAGGTAAAGTACTGGGGGGCACAACTACTATAAATGGGGCGGTAAATACACGCGGCAACTCAAAAAATTACGATGACTGGGTAGAACTGGGAAACGATGGATGGTCTTATGAAGAATGTTT